TAGGCATGGAAAAACAGGAAAAGATGTATTCAAGAAATATTTCTGAAACAGCTGATTGAATATTTAGGAACATTAGAGGATCTGAGGATAATGTAGATTTGTTGGCAAATTCCGTATTTCCATCCTTGAGAAGAAAATTTATCTTGTAAACTATATAAACTTAGGTAACAACATACCAAATTCACATCATCTACGCTGAATGAAATAGGTCACTAATGATGTTCTTTCAGAATACCAAGTAGGGAGATTTGCATAGGCGATACTTTCTAAAATGTGTAGGCAGATGACGGTTAATAACAAACCGTCCTTGTTTAGAATCTGAGGAAACAAAATGAAACAAAATGAACAAGGTCATGCTACCAAAACCTGGATTATAGCAGCAAAGTAGAGGTCATATATTAAGCTTTATGTGTGTGTGTGTGTGTGTGTGTATGTATAAGATGTTTCTTTTAGTGACCAAAATGCTTAAAGAAATTTTAAAGTCTATTTTATTCAATTCAGTTTCTTACTTTTTATATTGGTTTGACAGTTCAGAAAACCTAGAATTAGATGAGCCCGAAGAAACACCGTACTTCCTCGTGGTTGACAGGGCGTATTTGAAACAAAATTTCGGAGTTCCAACATGGCTTGTTAGCTTTTTTAGCTCTGTCATTTGAAGCAAGTGACTTAATCTTTCTGTACTACAGTTTATTTATTTGTGAAACAGGAGTGATGGTATCCAGTATTATTAGTAGTAAAATACTGTAGTTAAAATGAGGAATAAATAATAAAAGCAGATGTTGCTGTCAACAGAGGGTGGGCTCTGATCTGTGCATTTTGCATGTGTTGTCTCATCTAATCCTCATAACAAGCCCATAAATTATGTACTATGACCCCTATTTTACAGATGAAGAAACTGTGACACAGAAATGTGGAGTGACTTGCCAAGTCAGCATTTGGCAGCTGCGGGGCTTGAGCTCAAACAGTCAGGGTCCCGTGTCTGTCTTACAATCATGTTATTATCTTGACTCTTCGTGGATGGTTTTATTGTAACCTTCATAAGTAGATGATCTCATACATATAAAGTAGTTAGAGCAGTGTCTGGCATTGATTAAGGGCCAGTAAATGTTGGTTGCTGTTTGTACTACTGCTATTTCACTACGACTTAACGTAATAGTTAAACTGGAGAGAATGAGTATTTGAAGCTAAATCCTTACCTAAAACACTCATATCTTCTCAACAATATTACTAATGCTTTTTTAGGGAAATCTCTCTCACACCAGCCTGTTACGATTAATATTCTCTGTTTTTATGTTTGTTAATTATCTGGTTTATTGTCTGGCTGGCTGCCAGACTATGAACTCCAGAAAAGAAGTCTGTCTCCTTTCTTTCTCTTTTGTACCCAGTGGTTAGCAGAGAGCGGAATGTATTATAGGCACTCAGTAAATATTTGTTATAAATAAAGTGAAGGCAATAGAAATAAAAAGAAAAAAATCATTTTTCCATTGGTCACATGCACAGCCTGTCACAAAAAATATTAAAATGAGAAGAACACATTTCATTATTTTTCTCTAACCATTGGAAAATTGCAGCCATGCCCTCGGCATGAAGAATATGTTGTGTAATAGAATTGTAAGCAGAACCTCTCAGGCCCACTTAACAGTCTCACTGCCTTTCTCACTGGATCACCTATCTGCTTTGTCTAAAGAGTGACATAAGAAGGCGGATATGTCCTCTAGAGCTGGAGCCAAGTCCAGGTCAGCTCCAGAAAACCAGGAGATACCTTATTTCTGTTATGGGGGATTTATTGGCTTGGAGGAAAAATAATTACATTCGAAGATGAAGATTTTCTTTTTCCAAAAAAAAGGTATTTATGCTAGTATATCATGCTATATATTATACATATTATTTTATATAGATGCTCTATATTATATATACTATATACTATATATTTATATATTTATACTAGCATATCATGCTATATGTAAATATTATATTTTTACACTAGTATATCATGCTCTATATTAACTACATTCTTACCTTTATAAAACTTAAATGTCTGAGTCCTACTCCATGAAAAAATATCACCAGAATAGATTTCTCTCCTTTATGTTCTCAGCAAGAATAAACTGCTAGGGAGTACTACTATGTCTATTTAAATATCTTAAACCACATATTAGCTTTCAAAATTTTGGAACACAGGAGTATAATATAAAGGATATAAGCCAGACAGTGGAATGGAGTCAAATATTAGTATTAGTTATTTTCTCATTTTCTCATATAGAGACCTTTGGAGAAACAAACACAAGAAAGAAGACGTAAACCTTAAGGAGTAATCAATTCTTTATTTAGGAAAAACATTTCTTAACTGTCTTTCTTTATTTTTGTTAAGAGGTGATATGTTGGTGCTGATTCTCACTTAAACATATATTTGAGATCAGATTTGTGAATTGCTTAGGATTGTATCTCCGCTTAAATGACCGAAAGATTTTTCATCATTATGCGTATTTTTATTGCATGTTTGTTTTAATTAGTACTGAGTGGATAGTGTGCAAAAAGTCATGTGTTAAACCTCGAATGCAGGAGCAATGGGTCTAATCCACAAAGATGGCATGGTACTGATATAAAATACAGCAATGATTATGTGATTTGTGGATGGAAATGATGATCTTATAGGTATCAAATTTCATTTATCAAACATGAATACTTGGTTTTGGTTCAGCTCACTTGATCACATTATAATAAATAAGTATAGCATAATAATATATTGATGTTCATAGGAACACAGCATAGAGAATAACTCACTACCTCTGAGAGCTGTATGTTTAATGGTTCTACTAAGTAAAAAGCTTATGGGTGCTATCACAGTGAAATTTTAATCTAGATATAAAAATTTAATTCTGACAAAAAGAATTAGGAGAATTATATGACAAGAAGGGAAGAGTGCTAGAGGCAGAGCTTCAATAAGATCTCTGTGGTTAGAGTAAAAGGAGATTGTTAAGTTGCAGACAAAGATGTGGAATGATTAAACTTTTAAACTTTCATCTCCTTTTTTTTTTTTTTTGAGAAAGACTTTCACTCTGTCACCCAGTCTGGAGTGAAGTGGGTGCAGTATGGGCTCACTGCATCCTCTGCCTCCCAGCTTCAAGCAGTTCTCCTGCTCAGCCTGCCGAGTAGCTGGCATTACAGCCGCCCACCACCATGCCCAGCTAATTTTTTGTATTTTTAGTAGGGATGGAGTTTTGCCATGTTGGCCAGGCTGGTCTCAAACTCCTGGCCTCAGGTGATCCTCCCGTCTCAGCCTCCCAAAGTGCTGAGATTGCAGGTGTGAGCCACCATGCCTGGCCTAAACTTTCAATTCTACCAAGTCTATTTCTCTTTTAAATTAAGTAAACTATCCATTGCTTTCTCAACCTATTTTTTCCATCTTAACATGTTTAATAAAGCAATAATCCTTATACTTACATAGTCTATAAATTATATATACAAATGCTTTTGCTGTTTTACTCTACTGTTCACAGAAACTTATGTTTAATATATCTAGTAACTCAAAAGCATATAGTGTCGCATATTTTAAAACTCTAAACCAAACTCATATATGCTATATCATACAAATATTGAGAGAAAGTGAACATAATTTCGACCTAGAGTTTTTTCACAGTTTTTTGAACTGCAAGATGTTTCATAGACTTCTCCCGTTTCTTACATTCAAATATTCAATTGTATTTAATTCAAAGCTCCTTTTTAACATACTTAGGTTGAATTTTGCCAAGATTGAATAGAATTTTGTGTGTGTGTGTGTGTGTGTGTGTGTGTGTGTGTGTGTGTGTTCACGTATGAACCATCATCTTTATGTCATTATCAAGAGACAGCAGTATTCTTCTTGGGTATAAGATAGCTGTTTGCAAACCGTCTTTAGTCCATGAACTCTTCTTTAAACAGGATTTGGATGTATCACTTGATTAGGATGATGTAATTAATTTTAAATATTTTAGATTTCTTAGGAGATAAATGTCTGCAGCATAGTTACACCTATGGAAAAGAAAACTAGACTTTTTTCTTTTAAAACTGCAGAAATAAACCATATGTATATAAAATCACAAATTCCAAATCCTAATATTGAGAGTTTTAATATAGCTTACATATGAAAGCGCTTGATAATTGACATTGACATAGACATGACATACTGCCTAGATGGTGAGGATGATATTGATGGAGACTTTCGCAGTATTTCAACATCCACAATGCAAGCACTAAGGGAGCAAGTATTTTTCTATATTTTGATCACCAAAATGTCCCCACCTCTAGAACATTATATTGTACATAGTGAGTATGCAATGAATATTTATTGAATAAATTAATACAGATTTGTAAACGATCACCCAACTTAGGTTTTAGATCAGTAAAATGAGAATGTAGGGATTTGAATGTTACTTGTCTGAGGGAGGTATGACAAAAGCCTAGTATGTGAGCTGTTAAGGCAGTGTTGTTGTCCTTCAATACACTATTTTTACTGTTAAATGCTAAATTACTGATAAAAGTCAACATGTAACCAGAGGTATATGTCCTAAAGCAGAATTTACAAAAATCTTATATTCTATATACTTCCTTGTGAAATCCTTGTATGATTTACAGAGCATTTCCATGAGATTGAATAATACGGTACTATAATATCAATTTTACTCTGAAGATTTTTTATCTACTGAGTAGATAAAAATTCTTTCCTTCAGCAACATGCTGAGTGATAGTCACATAACTGCATAGACATGGCTGTTGTGGTTCCTTCTCCTGGATCTTTCCTTTTGTGACAAAATTAAGTTAAAAAAAAAATCCCAAATAGACACATACAGTTAAATTGCTTTGTGATAAGTGCTTTAAACAAACTAAATGGAGAGTGGGAGTTTGAGGACTGAAAGACTCAGTAGTTACGCTGATTAGATGAGCCAATTTTGAGAAGGTGGCGTTTAAGCTGAGATCTGAAAGTTGCAACTTAAACTTAAAAAGGGACTTTTGCCTTTGGGATGGCATCTGGAATATCTGCACCGGCAGGCATAGAGGACACTGGGAGAGAAAGAGGAAAAGGGTTACTACACCTTGATGTACAACAATCAGTAGACTTGGAAATGCTTGCCTCTGATAGTACCACTTACGAAAATGAAATATGCTGTCAAGTAAATATTATGAGACTGTCAGTTTTTTACACTGTCCACCAATGATTGGGATATTAAATTAACTGTCTAATATAAAGCAAACAAATTAAATTTTTGAGAATATGTAAACAAATGCAGTATAATTTTATGTAAATTTGACTATATTTCTGTTTTCTATTTGATTTATTTATTTTATACATGTTTCCCAGGATAGTCCACTGGTCTTACAGTCTGACAGGAATGTAACAGTGAATGCAAGAAATCACATGGGGCAGTTAACTGGACAGCTGACCATAGGTGAGTGTTTTGGGTAAAGATTGCCCCTACTGTGCTTGGTGTTTTTGTTGTTGTTTTTTGTTTTGTTGTTGTTGTTGTTTTGAGACAGAGTCTCACTCTGTCACCAGGCTGGAGGGCACTTTGGGAGGCCAAGGCGGGCGGATCACGAGGTCAAGCGATTGAAACCATCCTGGCCTACTGTGCTTGTTTTAATTGAGAAAAGTAGAAGTATGTTATTTCTCTGATATATAACTCAACATCCCATTACAGCCCAGTTTTCTTGTACATGATTTGACGTGTCATAAGCTACTCATGTTTCCTCTATTTAGTAGTTATTACTCTTGTCAATATATTATTATGAGATTGAATTACATTTATTTTGCTGATCATTACTCTTGAATTATGAAATGCACCATTTTTCTAAGAAATATTTTCATAGCATATGTTAAATTATAATAAACTTACGGAAATGTGAGATGATATAACATTTTTAGGTCTGTCTCTTTTCTAGGGGAAATATTTTCTAATAAATTGTATCTGCTCATATAAATTAGAAATTACATGAGTTGAGTATAATAAATATTCACATTTATCAATTACTTCTACATTTGATGTTGAAATTATCTGTATTTTAAGATTTATGGGCTTTATGTGTTATTAACATAAATTAATGGTGAAGTGTTACTTTTTTCTCATGTCAAATAAATATTTTAACTTAGAAATTTATATCAAAATACAAGATGTGATTACTTGACTCAGTTTTTATAAGAAGGCAAATAAGTAATTTGTAATGTAAAGTTTTGATATGCATGTAGATTCTGAATTATTTTTATAACACTGTATTGGTTCTGTGGATAAATTGCTTAATATAAACATGACATATCTATCTATACATACATATATATATAAAGAGATAGAGAATGAGAAAAAGAGAAAGAGGAAAGTAAATTACAGCTTTGAGGACTGAGGTGTTGTTAGTTTAATGAGAAATTAATCATCTTTAAATGCAAATGTATGTTTCCAATATTTCTAATTAAATTATGCAAAAATAATACATTTGAAATATGAGCTTTAAAAACATGATTTTGGATTCTGTGTACTTAATTTGTAGGTATATGTTTTTTAATATTTGTTTTGATGAAACCAAAAGGGAAACATTTTAGCATATATGAATTTTCTAAAAATATAATTTTATTTGTGAAAATTGTTTCGGTTTACATCACAAAAGTTTGTCATTACATATCTATTAATTGCTACAACTGGATAATGTTTTGTGATAATTAGAAATATAACAGTTATAGAGGGGTGCTATTAGCAAATGGATTCAAGATTAAATAAAAGAAATATGTGTATGGAAATAGAACTAATTCAGAAGCAAAAACCGTCCACTTAAATATTCGTGCTAATTCACTCCTGTTATGTTGGAACTGCAGAAACTATAGGCCTATGGAAACAGGCCTAACCTTGGTAGATTTTCCATATCCTAATTTTCTTAAAGTTGAGAACTCTTCAGCCACATGGAACTTCCTTTTGCATTCAGTCTTTGATATAAAAAGTTCTTAGTAGAAACGTCAAAATGTAAATTAAGAGTCGGGCGTGGTGGCTCATGCCTGTAATCCCAGCACTTTGGGAGGCCGAGGCGGGTGGATCACGAGGTCAAGAGATCGAGATCATCCCATCCAACATGGTGAAACCCCATCTCTACTAAAAATACAAAAATTAGATAGGCATGGTGGTGGTGTGTGCCTGTAGTCCTAGCTAGTTGGGAGGCTGTGGCAGGAGAATCACTTGAACCTGGAGGTGGAGGCTGCAGTGAGCTGAGATCGGGCCACTGCACTCTAGCCTGGGCAACAGAGTGAGACTCTGTCTCAAAAAAAAAGGTAAATTAACTGCACAAAGATTATATACCCATGCACTGTCAGACACAATAGCTACATAATTCCTGCCTATAGAGCAAAGCAATCATTTGATTATATGAAGTACAAATACTGTTTGCATTTCACTGCGTGATTTCCTGCAGGAAATAAAGAATATAGTGTGCTAGGATTTTCAGTTACCCTTCCAAACTGATTGTAATGTTATATTGATATTTGCCAAATGAGAGAAAAATAGCAAGAGGAGGAGAGAGAAAGAAAAAAATGTTAAGCTGAGTTTTAAATGCAGCAAATTATTAAGTTAATGACACAGCAGCTTATTGTGCAGAGAAATACATTTATTCCAGTGAGGATTTAACTTAAAGACTATTTAATATCCTGGTCCTTTGAGTGTATTTTTGATGACTTATGTATTTTTACTGGTTTGCATATTTTAATGAACATAGTACAAAAGAAGACTAGGGCTGTGTGAAAGGAGATAATGTATTCATATTTGAAACAAAGGTACAGGGAGCTACTTAGTAGTTTGTTGGGTACCAGCAGAATAGTTAATCTTTTGGACCCTCAGTTTTCTCATGTCTAAAATGGGGATAATGACACATTTTGAATGCTGTTACAAGCATTATGGTGATGTCAGTGTCTACAAATGGTAGGCAATTGTATATTGAATCTATTATTGTGATGATAGTGAGTATAATTATTGGTATCACTTATGTTACAAATACAGTGATATGGGAGAAATCTCATGATGTTTTTCTATTCTGGGTATCTGTGTGGTATTAGATAAGGCTGAATTATGATACTGTTGAGAGATATGTTACAAAACACAACACAGAAAGTGTATCCCGTGTTCAGAAACTCTTCAATTATGTAAGAATAAATTTACCTTTATGTAGAGTTTGAAGATATACTTGAATGAGGCAATGTAGAAATTAAAATTTATTTCTAAAGACTCTAAGTTTAATTGTGTATACATAAAGTAGCTGTTCTAACCCTCTTTGTCTATTTCTTTTCTTATTCTTTCAGTTTTTATGTGTATGGCCTCAATTATAGTATAGTCATGATACTATTTTTGCAATATTAAAAAAATTACCGCACAAACTGAATAGTTATGGAAAAGAATTTCAGTTACTCTTCATTTTCTAAGTAAAATAATTCTGTTGTCTACCAACAGAATGCATTGATTTCTGTTAGAAATGTATAGTCAATTCTAAAAATATAATAATTTGAATATTTTTCCAGATTTTATTCTCATTGTACCATTTTCCTCAAAAATGTATGTAAGTAGTTTCAGCAAAGCAAATATCAATTTCTCTTGTACCCTACCTTTTTCTTTCTCTATAAGCCTAGCTTCCTACTAATTCCACTCACAGGGATATATGTAGTTCAGCGATTAGACCAACCCATGTGGTAATCCTAATGCTGACTCACTGATAGAATTTTAAATCAAATTATTTCTAATACAATAAATGCAAAAGAGAAATATTTTATACATACACTGGCTCAAGCACAATAAAAACTAAATCTAAATATTTTAAAACTTTAGGTAGAAAAATCAATTTGACAAACATTTTTGTGAATTGATGAAGTTCCAGGCTTTATGAATTTGACCAGATAATATCCAGTTTCCCCCATTAAGTCTAGGATTCTAATTTTCATGACCTTCATAACATTGGAGGAGATTGGTGGACTCAAGATTTCTTCCTCCAAATTTCTCTTCTTAGAATAAAGCTGAAAGAGAGGAATGAGATTGTTGTTGAGAAGTGGTTAAAGAAAGTACAACATCCCAAGAGGTCAGACTCCTTGAAGAAAAAGCAAGAACTTTCTTAAACAAGTTTCAGAATCATTCTCCAGGTCAAAATTTTCTATTATTTAATGTATAATTACTATGTTCTTTAGCACAATATTATTTTTCTTTTATAGGTGAAAAAAGTGTGTGACTTTAGGTGTGTTATATATTCATATATGTTGATAACATGATGATATTTTCCATGACTTTCTATCAAAAAAGTGGGTAAAGGATGTAAATTATGCACCATCTTTGTGAGTTTGTTTTAGTATCTCAGGAAGAACTACAGTATGTGATATATAGAATAAAAATCTTTATGGTAGTATAAATAAAATATGAGGTTTTGATATAGACTTTGTTTACAACATTAATAATAATTCTGTAGTAATTTGGTTCACTGAAAAGGTAATACTCTTTCCCACAATATCATGAGGATAGTTATATTTTATTTATCAATAACATTACATTGATATTTAACAGACTATATTTAAACTACTTTTATAAGTAGTTAACAAAGTATAGGTTGATTTCAGTAATATAATTTATCCTTTAAAAATCTTAGCCAACCTGGCTGTTTTTAAGCTAGAGATTGCTTTTTCTTATGTTACAAAAATATCTTTTATTTTTGATAAAGCAATGGCTAAAAGCTAATATTTTCCTTTCTCATGTGCCTTGTGCCATCATTCTATAGCAGAAGGATAAAAATGAAAGGAGGATAAATTCAGAAACCGGAAAAAGAATAATCTTAACTGGTAGAGCTAGCTTTGTGCTTTTTATTCTGTTTATTTGTTTGTTAGTGTTCTGCATTTAAATTTTAGTCACAGTGACTTTTGAGATACTTATCATGGCTACTTATGGGACCCTATGTCATAAACAAGAAGTAGTTCCACAATCCCACATCGGTATTATTATCCCAGTAAAACATTGAGGTTAATTGGGTATTAAAAAACTGAATGTCATTCTGAAATTTTAGTTTTAGAGTATGCTTAAAACCATAGTCTTATGCTTTAAATAGGATCTCATATTTCATCATAGGTCTCCTTGTTTAATGCTCAATAAATTTGGAAGAATTAATTCTGAATGAATTAACACCTAGGAAAGGCTTGCTGTTATTGTCAGAATCATTTACTTATCTTTGATGTTCTCATTTATACTTATCAAAAATCAGTGGCATAATCAAATTGTATAAAAATCTTAATTATAATCTTTACTTTCTCATTTTCTGTTTTTCCTCAGTAATTCTTGAAACTTAGGCCTTAAATAAGCCTGACTATATGTTAATAAGGAAGAATGCCATTTGCAAGCAGTTAAAGAAAGTGATATTTGTGTTTATTATGATTTTCCTTTTTCATATTTTA